AGTAGTAGTAGTAGTAGTATTATAGTGGTAGCAGCAGCAGTAGTAGTAAAAGTAGAAGAAGAAGTAGTTGTAGTAGTAGTGGTAGTGGTAGTACTGCATGGTAAGTGGTGAGTGGTAAGCAGTAGGTGTTTGGGGGGCGGTACGGTCGTGTTAGTGGTGGCGGGTAGCAGCCGCAGCAGAAGTAGGAGTAGTAATAGATAGCATTGGATAGCAATAGCAATTAGGTGTAATTGTGGTAATAATGATTTTAGCTACTGCGAAAGGAGCAGCAGCAGTATGTGTCCTCCTTGTGGTAGGACATGCCTGCAGCTGTAGCAACACCATGAGGCAGCAGGAATCATGGTCGGTTGGGGTTGGAATGTTGCAGGCCGAAGCTTGTCGAACATGGCTCGCGTTTGCTGTGGCTTTTTCTGCCCCTGTGCAGCCTAAGACTCCCAAAGGCCCGTTAGAGGCGTGCTTCGTCTTTGGATTAAGATTGAGACCAGACTGGTTTGCGTTTAAATCTTGTCGTGCGATAGCCCCTAAACCCTAGTCCCCGCATTTATGTCCAGATGATTCCAGATGATTGACATCCCCGAGCCCCAAATGAGCAGCATCTTTTTCAGCATTGCAATTTAATTTATAGCGTCGAACTGCAGGAGTGTCCACATAGTCTCGCATGACCCACGCGGCAAAGTCTAGCATAGCCTCGGGTAGGCATGTGTTAGTTGTCTCATCCTTGTGTCTGCCTGTTTTGTCTAGAAGGCAAACATACAAGAAGTGCTGCGCAGAAGGTAGCACAGGCAAGGGCTGCGGTGTAGTCCGCGTAGGTAGTTAAGCAGGCTGCTACCATAGGGGGCAGGGAATCAACGATTCTGCGCAGTCTGCGCTGGCTTTCCTCTTTCGTATAGTCGAAGTACATGGTAAAGACAATGAATGCTCCCGAAACCTTTAAGATCCTGAAGCCCGAACCCACAATGATCCCAACCTGTGTGCTGATGAAGGGGCAGAGGCCATATCTTAAATGGCACTGCCATTGGTGGCAGTGGCTTTGTTAGAGTCTGAGAATGGCTCTGCGTCACTGACCTTGCACGGCTTACCAGCAGAAATTCCAAGAGTCAGAGTATGCATTTCTTGGGAGTCCCTGTGCAGGCATGTTTGGGACACATTTTTGGGGTTCCATTTTTTTGGGCTTTGGGGTGCCTAATTGGGACCAACGAGGCTCAGAAGCCAGCAATCCAAACACGGGGATTAGCCTGTCCCCCCCCCTAGTCCGATACCTCTTGACACAGAGTCCCGACGAAAATCGTAGTGGGCTGACTCAGGGAAAGTAGCATCTTCGCAGCCTGAGGACTGGATCCTTTTGATTTGTTTGAACAGGAGTTTCGCTATGGGACTCAGGAACTTGATTGTATTAAGGGTAGTTACCCCCAACAATTGCCCTGACTGCGAATTGGAACAGTATTATTTGAGTTTTTATAGGGCAGCCGCACTTCTAAACATCAAACAGCACACCTTTTGATGTTATCAAAAGTAGGCTGCAAGTGGAGGTGCAGGAGTGTTTGGAAGGCCAGAGAAGCTTTCTACAATCAGGGTCCCACGCCTGACTGTCTTAGATCCAGGTATCGTGTCAGACCGGAATCCAGCACGGGCATCCTGTTTGTCGGAATAGTGCCGGCGTCCGCCTCCAGCCACTACAGTGCCAAGATAAACTAGTGCGTGGCCTTGTTGCTCTTGCAAAGGCCTAGATGCACTTCATCAGGTTTTCTCATCGTGTTTGCAGACGATGCTGCGATGCATTCTAGGACACATTTAGACAACACCCTCAGGTTGGTCATTTTTTGTGGAGTGCATGCGCTGTAGTGGTCTGCCAAGTGTCTGTCATGAGAATGATGCTGCACTTTTGATCGAAGGAGGTCTGTATGGGCGCCTGCAACTGTTTAATTAGCAGTCGTCGGAGACAGAGGGGTCTCTTGTGAGTTTTCCAGTCGCCGGGCGAGCTCAAAAGTTGCAGGATAGATACTGCGGGATTTCGTGATCACATCCGAACCTGTGTTGCTGTCGCGACTATGCCCGCGTGGGCGTCCTCAGATTACAGTCTACCTGGCAAAGGCTCATTGAAAACCTACCTAAAATTGTCCATTCCGTACTGAAGGCTGAAGTCCCTGGAGCGGAGCCAAGGCAAGGGTGGCCGGATGCCGTCCGCTTCGTTTCCAGCCCTCTCGCAGCCCGCACGAGCTTTGCCTGGCCACAAGAAGGTCTGTCCGCCGATTTGAGTTTAAACAAGGCATTTGCTGGGGCAATACGAAGTTGAGCCCTGGCTTTGTGTGCTGTTCCTTTCAAAGCTGCCTCGAGCAAAAGAAGTTGCCAGAAGTAGGGGATTCAGATGATCCTCAGAGACCAAGCATCCCACAAAAAATCAGGAGCTACAAGGGTCCATAGACCATCAAGCGTGTTCGCCCATTAAATGGTTTGCAGAGAGACATCTCCCGTTAGAGCTAGGACAGCCTTGCTGGTTTGGATCCTGGGGGCTGTAATCTGGAAACAAAGACTGCACTGATCTCTCATCTGACATTGCCATCGCAGCTGTTTCAACTCAAATGTGGGGAGACGGTTCATGACCACTGGCCCCTACGGGCGCTTGAGGCGCCTGAAGCATCCCCCACATTAGCTGGAGCGTTTTAAGCAGCAAGTCAAGCTAAGGCGGGCCCTCCCAGACTGCAAGGATGAGTGACAACACTTCATATCCCTTCTTGCTGCTCATTGACTTTGCATTCCAGGCTCCAAGGTATCTAGGGCTTTTGAGCTGATGTTTGATGCTTGATGAAATGACCCACTTGGTGAAGAAATCGCATTCTGTCTTGCGTAATAAGCATAGGACGTCTTGCTGGAAACATACGTTACAACTTTGATTCAAAACTTTTGAGAATGAGGGTGCCTGAGCCTTTTGGGATCTAACCCGCCCTGTGAGGTGTCGACAAGATGGCACATCGCAGCTTTGACAACACATTCCGGGCCATGACCAAGCAGCAGCTTGAGGCACCAAGCAGTAGCCATGGAGAGAGAGGAGAGGTTTGCTGCTCGTACAGGTAAACATGGGCCGCATGAGTTTTGGTTCGGTGCCTTGGGTTTCGCAAGATCTTTTGTGCTTTTTTGCGTGCCTTGGTAACTAGATTGGCTCATGAAGAAGCTGCTCGTGCAGAACAAATCGGCGCCGTCCACGTTTGGATGTCCATGCTCTGCTACCGTGTCATGTAAAAAGTCGTGTGGAGGCCAGCATCAGGAATTGCTTGCGTTCCCCAGTGCTTTGTTGGGCTTAAGGCGTTTTTGTCTTGAAATATCTTGAGTTGATGAGTTTTGATGAGACGAGAATGTAGGACGTCGCCGGCGCAGACTTGCGACACCACCTGGGAAGGAAGGTTTTCGCGCC